CTATATAATGAAGCACTAGATTGGGAACCTGTCGTTGCCTGGAGTTTTCCCTATAAAAGTCAATCCACTCAACTTAGAAGTTTTAAACCAGGATAAGAATATTCCCCTGGTTATTTCAAGTTCCCTAAACAAATTTGGGGCAAATCGGTCCAGGGGTCCATGAGTTATGATAGGACATCAAAACCAACAAACAAACACAGACTACTATACTTTATATATATAGATGTACTGCTCTATGGCAAGGGGTTAACATTTTATCAAATAATAATTTGCAAAATTTAAAAATTAATTCTGCTGAAGAAAGTTTACCCTGCTCTCCTTAAAGAGAACTGTAGACATAATTTAGGTAAATAATTAAAACTTTTTTTTAGATAAAAGAATATTAAACCAAATCTGATTAAATAATAAATAAGGATGCTGCAGATCTGTTGAAATATTCAAGGAATTACTTAAAGGGACTGTAAGCGTAATTTAAAGTGACCCTCCATTAAAAAAGAAAAAAAGGGCATGGCCAAATCACAAACCTTCATCTGATTAATAATGTGGAAGATTTATGTAGCTTAACAAAGTATTTAATTATCTATTGCTTATGGAGTAAGAAAATCCACAAATGAAAATACTTAGTTTACAAAAACATTGATATAAATCATACTTATCGGGAAAAGCTTTTAAGAGCACCATTATGAATCGGACATGACATACTATCAATTGAGGGTTACTTGAAATACCGTTTACAGTCCCTTTTGAATTAAATTAAATTTGTACCTATACTTCCTTAACTATAGTAAGCACGGCTTCTAGAAATAAGATTCTTCTCGTCTACTCAGCATTTCTGATTTACTTGTTTTCTCCGTACACTTCACGATCAATATAGGAGACGTCAAGTTGTCGACCAATATAGCTTTTATGGAAGGAACAGCCTCAGTTGTGGACATTTCTATTACTTTTAAGTTTCTACATATATTTCTCCTTGAGAGGATGGACAAATACTGATCAATTCGAAGCCTTGCCGGTACATGAAATAACGGTTAATATATCTGATATCGTTAATTTAGTCTACTCTGTCGGATTTACTACTACAGCGGTGTATTTATCGTATCTGCGACAGATTACTATGGCGGGAAAAATTTTGTATATACTACAGCGGTTCAGAATTTCCGAAGTCGTATATACAACAATTATACTATGGCGGGAAAAATTTTGTTTCTACTACAGAGGTTCAGAATTCCCCGCCATCGAAACTACGACAATTGCACTATGGCGGGGAGACATAGTATATACTATTGCGGTACAGTGTACCCCCCGCCATCGCATTTACGACGGCGGAAAACCAACTCTGGCGAAGATTTAATGTTAGCTGGGTAAGCTTCTACATTTAACTCCAGAATTACATTTTTTTGGTATTTACAATGTACATTACCTTGCAGATCTAAATCCAATTCATCTATTAGATTTACAGTGCTGGGGTGTGAATTGTTTCCCCCAAGAGCTCTTAAAAGTGAAAAAAGTATTCTAACCCATCTTGATTCAATGAATAAGATATTTCCTCATTTTAAGCGCATGCTACAAATCTAAGGTTGAATTTATTGACAAAATTATTTCTGTTTGAAACTTTTTTTTCTTTGATATTTGTTGTCTTTACTGAAAGTCATCAGTTTAACAAGATCTAGAATATTTTTAAGAGATTTGATTTGCTCCGACTCATGAACTCCAAGAGCACACTTCATTTTTTTCCAATGAAACTTTAATCTTGAATTGCAGACATCAAACAAAGCATCAATGGTTCAAATTATTTCCTTCAATTCTAGATTTGTTTTCCAAATAAGAATTTAAAAGCTTTTGAAACGGTATCAGGACAGAGCTGAACAGCATATTTTAACCTTTGACGTTGGTTTCTTTAGCATTCCATATTTCGTCAACTCTCAACGAATCATAAAATAAAGAAAACTCTGGAATAAAATTTGTCCTACCTCAACGTTCAGGGTGACACAGGTCTTGTAACTCTGGGTTTAACTGCAACTAGATGAACTCCACAGTCATTGTGCTGCATTAAACTGCTAGCAAGTCCAAAACTTAAAAAATAAGAAAGATGTTTAATATTAAAAATCATTATCGATAATACTTAAAATCATATATACAACAAATGCAATCTACGTACAATAAGACCCCTTATACATTCAGCAAAGACCAAGATAACCCATTCTCATCCAATATCTTCTTACCGTAGTGCTCCTCTGTCCTCTGAACAACTGGTAGAACTCAAGCATATATCATTTAATTCTGAACTGAATTGGGACTTGAATAACATGATCTAAATATGTCCGAACAACTTTCTTGAAAATATTTATCAATACTAGAACATTAATAAAAAATTAAATAACATCAAATTGGGATCAGCGCTGCGATCAGCTGAAACTTCCGACTCCGCTTTTATCTGCAAACGGTTTGGTTTGGCTCAGATACTCTTTCCACTCCTTGGATTCCCTAAATCCACAAAACATTCCAAATGCAGCAAATTTATTTTTTGACAATGTTTAAAATCATGTTTAAAATCAAGAAAAATGTGTATTATTACACTCAAACAATAAAAAAAACTAACGTTACCAACCGGATATTCAGTATGTCAACAAATCTGATATGAAATAAAAAAAATCTATTCTGCAGTTAATATAAATCACAATATTTATAAATTTTACTGACAAGAAACGCATTTCATTAAAAAATCATGACATTAAATGAAAAATATTTTTTTTAAATATGACACATCACACAATATTTGCGGTGAACATGTAGGATTAATTTTATAGTTGTACTACAGTATTAAAACTTTATCATGATAAGTGGCAGAACTGATAGTAAAAATGTCTAAAAATTCTTAACAAACCCCCTTTCCCTTTCCCAGGAATTCATGAATCACTGAATTGCAAAACATGGTGGACTTCTTGCCCCCCCCCCCCTACAGGGGCAAGGAAAATGTAGACTTTACGTTCATCGCCAGCAAAAAAGTATTTTTGCCCTGAATAAACTTGCAGCTGCTTTAATGGTTTACTATTTCCCATGTCACAAACAATCCCACAAACTTTGGCACTTTGTCGAATAATAGAAAAAAGAAGATTTTGATCCATTGGTTTTATCAATATCATAATAAATAATTTGTTTCAAGGGATAAACTAGTCTTCTATACAGGAAGTTAACCCTTTAATTTTCATACATAATGGGAGGTAAAAATCAAAAGATAAATGGAGGGG